TATGCATCACCATCACAACCATCATTACCAACATCACCATCATCACATTACCACCATCACCATCACCATCCGCACCATTATCATCACCATCACGACCACAACTACAGCCAACATTATCATCACCATAAACTTCGTCATCATTATGCATCACCATCACAACCATCATTACCAACATCACCATCATCGCATTACCACCATCACCATCACCATCACGACCACAACCAACATTATCATCACCATAAACTTCGTCATCATTATGCATCACCACCACCATCATCATCACCATCATCAACACCATTATAATTACCTTCACCTTCACCATCATCATATAATCAATCGTCATCATCATACCATTAGTAAACATACCATTAGAAACACTAGTCCAGCAATAATCTGCGTAAAAAAAATCCCATCATTACTATGTCTATCTCATTCAATATACACCGCTGTTTTTGATAAACACGAGTTAGCTATCCATAGATGGCACTAAAAGCAAAAGGTATGTTCAATAAAGGTTTTGAACCATAACGTGATGGCAGCCATTTTAGATATTGCAAGAACAATACAATCTTAATTCAATCCCGGAGATTAAATTGCTCTGCCATCTAACATGGCCGCCGGCATGCACATGATGGAGCAAACCTCTATATATAGATGGACGTAATGCTTATAAATATTGTGATGGTAATGTGCCAACCATATTAACAAAAAGGTTTTGTCACTTTACTTTGTTGGATTATCCAATAGATTTCTGGTTAGCAATTCCATCAACAAAAAAACAAAAACAAAAACAAAAAAAAAACAAAAGAAAACAAACAAACAAACAAACAAAAAAACAAACAAAAACAAACAAACAAAATTTTTTTTTCGTCATCGAACGCTCACCGCAACACGACTAGATTCCAATGAGGATTTATTTTTTCCCATTCAAATTATAAATCATTGCTCTTGTTCGAGTTGAACATTCTTTAAGTCGGGAATCGCGAGTGGCGTAGCGGTAAGAGCGCTCGCCTCTCAAAGACGACCGGGATTCGACTGCCCGGACATGGTTTCGTAAGTGAAGTAGAGTGAATGAGGTGTTTGTTGGTTCTCTCCTGTGCTTCGAGGGGTTTTCTCCGGGTTCTCCGGTTTTCGTCCCTCAGCAAAAATCATCTTACAAATTCCAATTAGAATTCAGTGGATGAAATGCGACCCTGTGGAAAAGTCACTGTTAAACCCTTCCCCAGATTCGCAGTCTTATCGTGCAAATACATACCGTTGATGTCCACTCAAATCGCAAATGATCGACTAAAATTCCACCGACGAACGCGCCAACAAAACCACTAAAAATAACATATTAAATAATAACGTACTTAACGGTTTTTGTGATACACATATACATATATATATATAAATAAATAAATATATGTATACAGCGATATGCAGAAATTCTGATCCTTTTGTACATATATACAAGTATATCAAAAGTATATCAGAAATGATGGATTATCATCCCTGATATAT